CCCTCCCCGGGCACTGTGGTTCGCCACGTGGTACTGAAACGTCAGCATGTGTATGATTCACCTCCTTTCAACACTTGGTTTCTCAGCCACCCTCCGCAGTGCTCAGGGGTCACTCCTGGGTCGACACTCAGGAATCACACCTGGCACCTATGGGCTGCAGGGGATGGAACCTGCGTGGGCCCCGGGCAAGGCAACAGCCTTAGCCGCTGCTCTGCCCCGCCGAGCCCCGCGTCACCCGAGGAAGTCCCGGCCAGCAGACCAGTGGCCGCGGCTGCAAAGGTCTGGCCCCACCCGCGGCACCGCACAGCCGTCTCCTGCGAACGTACAAGCTGACCTTTCGTTTTTTGCTTTCCTCAGAGGTGCTCAAGGGCTAAGTCCTGGCTCTGCACCCAGAGATCACTCGCTCCTGGTGGGCTCGAGGACCACCCGAGGTGTCCAACCTGGTGCGAGGCAAGCGCTCTGCCCCCGCACCATCCCTCGGCCCACCCAGCTGGCCTCTCAGCCACACTCCAGTCCTCGGACTCCTTCCTCAGCCCCTGCCTCACTGCAGAAGGAGCTCGCCTTCCATTTCATCGCGGCAACGGAGGCTACAAGCACAAACGCCCGGCTCCCCACCCAGATCCGCCCTGACCTCTTTCCCTCCCGTCTAAGAAGAAACGAGGCCGATACTCCTGCCCGACAGAAGAGAGCCGAGTGCTGAAATGCAGGCTCTGACCAAACTACCCTTCCAAATCTTCACTCGCTCTGGTTAAATGGAGGCGTTAGTGTACTAGAACCCTGTAAATCAGAGTATACTCGTGAGACTCTGAAAACAGCGCCTGGAAAATCATTCAAGAAAAATCACTTGTTTGTTTTCCGCGCACCACCGGCGATGCTCCGGGGACCATACGGGGTGCCAGGGATCCCACCAGGGTCCGAGGCATGCAAGGCAACCAACCCCTGACTCACTGTATCATTGCTCCGGCCCACGGCAAGCCCCATTTCTTGTGCTCCTGAGCTTACTTTCTTCTTGCTGAACATCTTTCTGAGTGTCCCTGCCAGCTCCTTCTCAATAAGCAAGTGTTCTCGAACACCTTGAATGCCTCCACGACACACGAGCGTCTTTCCCCAGAACATCCCAAGCTTTGGTGTTTGGGCTTGGGGTAACAGCAGGTGGTGCTCAGGGCTCCCTCCTGGTGCTGCTGGGAGACCCCACAGGGTGCCCGGATAACACCCAGGGCAGCAACGTGCAAGGCAAGCCCTCTCCACTCCACTCCCTCAGGACCGAAAAGATCATCCAAGTCACCTGTCCTTGAAGGCCTGCATTTCTTCACTCACTCCTTTCCCATGTTTTCGCCCGCTCTCCCCACCCCCCCACACCAGCCCTCATGTGTGTTTGGTCCGAGTTCATCTTGCTCAGCGGCTGGCCCACTCGCTCTCTTTGTTTGGCTTCGGCTTTTGAGCCCTGAACGGGGGGCGCTCAGTAGCTGGTCCCAGCTCTGTGCAGGGACCGTGTGACTGCAGAGTGAGCTGGGACCCCACAGGCAAAGCCCCTCCGGTCCTGAACTCTCTCTCCAGGTCCTGTTGCTTTCCTTAAAGACCACCTCGGTGATGCATCTGACGTACAGTAAACAGGACCGCCGTGAGCGATACCAGCTGAGAAACCGGAAGGTACGTACACACAGCTGAAGCTACAGGCACAATCGAGACGGACGAGCACAAACGCCCCTAAACAACTACTGATCCTTTTTTGTATACACAGAATTAGAGAGAATACAATTTTTCTCAGAGTCTGGATTCTCTTATTTGTCTTAACTATTCAGAGATTCAGTTACGTTGGCACATGCGGCAACACTTAGTGGCATCACAAAATCACAACCTACTCATTTACCTGCTGACGGATATTCGAGCGATTTCCAAATTTTGCTGCACAGAGCTGCCACAAACAGCCACTTTTTAGCCTACGTAGATACCCACTTCATTATTCTTCTGACTTTGCTTCTGCGAGTCCTAGCTCTGTTTCGCCTGGTAGCAACAACGGCCAGCTCAATAAGCCCACCTCGACAACCAAAGGGCCTTTGAAATCGCCATATCCCAGTGGCACCACAGATGCCCGGCCGCTTCTCTGCGCGCTCCCCGCCCGGACCGAAGGACAAACACCGCGGGCCCGGCCTGCTCCCAAGCACTCGGTTCACTGATCGAGCGTGCCGATTCTGCCCGCAAAACATCCTCAGATAAACCCCCTCTCCCCAGTTCAGTCCCAGGGCAAAAGCCCCCTCCCCTGAAGCGGAACCGAAGGCTGGACTATGAGCCCCTCCCGCCCGGTCTCACTCTCCTCCGGTTCTTCTTTCATTCTGTGGTCCAGTGAGTTTCCCAAAATCAAAACGTGATGCCACTCCCCCACTCATTCAAAATCCGTGAGATTAATCACCACGGCGTCTCACAGGCAGGTTCAACCCCTCCCAGGGGCGGGAGCCACCGCCCAGCAGGTAAGGCGACTTGCCTCACACGCAGCCGACCCAGGTCCTATCCCGAGCACCACCAGGAGGAAACCCTGAGCGCAGGCCAGTGTGGGTCAAAAGCACAAGAACAAAAGGGCGGGAACTCTTCAACGACCCCTATTACCTGTAGACCGGTCCAACTCCTGGCTGGCACCGGGGCCCAGCACACATGGCGCCCCCAGCCCCAGGGGAGTGGTCCCGAGCCAGGAACCAACCCTGAGCACAGCAGGCTGGGAACCCAAACAACAACATCAACTAAACCACGCCAGTGGCCTCGGCACGCTCTCCCGCACTGCGTCCACAGCAGTCCCACTCGGGCACTGTGGGAGACTGGCGTTTATCTTTTGGTCTTCGGTGGAGGACAAGGCTGGCGCAGGTCTGATCGGCGGGTGCCCCGGGTAAGACCTGAGCTGGCAGACGCAGCAGGACAGTCTGGCCACGCGGGGGAAGAGCAGGGGTTCAATCTGGCTGACGCGTATAAAACAGGGACGTTTCCGGCAGGCAACCCACAGAACCAAACCTGCCGAGACCACTGCAGAAACGCTCCCTCCCACTCTCCAGCCCAACAGACGGCCGGGGCGCTGACGGAACATACTCAGAGGTACCCTAACTTCTCAAGTGTGAAGAACGGAAAAGGGCGAAAGGCAGAGAGTTTAGTTGAGAGGCGATCACGGGGGCGCACGCTCTGCCTTGCTGGCCCCACACAGACCCCGGGCGCCACCAGGAACCACCATGCCAGCAGAGAGCCGGGAGCAGTCCCTGGGCACTGCCAGGTAGGGCCAAAACTAAAAATAAAAAGAAGTGACCGCAACAGTCTGGAGAGAAGGAACGAGAGCAGTTAAATTGGAAAGAACACTGTCCGGGGGAAACGGATCACTTCCCTGGACGTGGCGGTAACGCGGGGATGCCCTCTGTCACGGCCCGGCCAGGGCAGCCGACACAGCCGTAAGCCAAGCGGGCGAACACGGAGTGGTTAGGGGCCAGCAGGGGTTCTGACCTGGGCAGACCCTCGCCTCCTCACCCGCACTCTAGTGCCCACCAGGTGTCAGTCACACCATTCGTGGAAGCAAAAATGAGGGTGAACGACCATTCCTGCTCCCGTGAGAATCTACACGGAACGTCCAACCTAGCTGGGAAGGTGAGGGATGAAGGCCAACGAGCAGTCTTAAACTCCGCCCGCACTGCGGCCTGTCCACGCAGTCCCGAGGGGCTGAGCAGAGCTGCGGCCAAGGGAGTCCAGAGGATGCCTACGGGGAGGACTGGCAGAGGGCGGGCCAAGGAGGGTCGTCCAGAGCGCAGCGGGCTCTCTGCACCCAGTGCCCGAAGCCTCGGGAGTCCGGGAGACAGCTCGCCGGCGGGCAACGTGCAGCACTGGACCCGGCACGCGGGACCTATTTCAACCTCGGCTTCTGGGCACCAGCCACCTTTCGAAACAAAAGTGGGAAAAAAGTAAATGAAAGTGGGAGAACTTGGCCCGACCAGCCCGACTGCCTGCAGCGGTAGCTCTGCGGGGGACACAAGCGGGTCTCCCAGTGCGCCCCTGGGCCACGCTGGGAGCCCAGCAGGAAGGGACAGAACGGGAGGAAAGAGATTCCTTCCTGTCCCCTGAGAAGAGGGAAGGGCTGGGAGGCGGCTTGGTGGCAGAGAGCGCTTGCCCGCGTGCTAAGACTATCCGGTGGGCAGACCGCTGGCACGGCAGGAAGGGAGAGTTCAGACCGGACCTAAGAGCTTCCATTTGTCTAATCGTGGTTAATCACATTAAAAATCACTCTGTGCTGGCCACACTGAATGATCTGATGGCCAGATTCCAGTCGTGCCCGCCCGTGTGGCCCCCTGGCCTGCCAAATAGGGTCCCCCCCCAGGAGGCACCTGGGCGGCCCCTGAGCGGGAGGTGCCAGGCGGGGTCCCAGCTGCGGTGGGCGCGCTGCTGCGTGTTTCCAAGGACCTTCCTCCCCCCTCCCACCCCACCCAGGCCGGACACCTGCTTCCAGGGCCGGGAGACCGCTGAACCCCGAGGGGCCCGGCCGGGTGCCCGCTCAACGCCACAGCACGGCGGGAGGGCACTGGCCCTGCCCCCGGCCAGCGTGGGCCGCACCCGGCCTCCCTCCCCCAGGGTGGGATCGCCCCCAGGGGCGGCTCCAGGGTGCAGGGCGGGAGTGACCCGGCCCGGGGTGCCCCGAAAGCCGGAGGCCAGAGTCAAGAGCGAGGCCGGGCCCTGAGCGCGGGCGCCGGACACCTGCTCCCTGCGCCGGACAGCGGCGGCCAGGCCTGCAGGAGGCGGCGGGGGGTGGGCGCGGGAGCCTGGTGGGCGCGGGGCCCCTCGGGACGCAGGGGGCGAGGCGGGGCGGGGCGGGGCGGCGCCTCCGGGGGTCGCCCGCGCCCACCCACCCACCCACCGGCGCTCCCCGGGGGGCTCCCGGGGGGTCGGGCCGCGCGCGGGGCCGAGGAGCGGCCGGGGTCGCAGCGGAGGGGCGCGGGGGCGAAAGGGGTCCCCGGGCCCGGGGCGGGGGGCGCGCTCACCTTCTTCAGCGCGGGCACCAGCAGCCCCCGCCACTTGGGCGCGTTCTCGTCGCTGCCGAAGTCGTAGGGCGGCGGCGGCGCCTGCATGGCTGCGGGGGGCCGGGCTAGCCCTGGCGGCGGGGCAGGGGGCCGAGGCCCGCGCGCGGCCACCCACCCGACTCGCGCGCCGGCCGCCCGCAGCCCCCGCGGCCCCGAGGCGGCGGCATCCCGCCGGGGCGGCGTCGGGCCGGCGGCGGCGGCGGCGGGGGCGCGGGCGCGGGCGCGGGGGCGCGGGGGCGCGGGGGCGCGGGCACGGGCGGGCGGCGGCGGGCGGGCGGGCCGAGGTCGCCGAGAGCCGCCGCGGGCAGCGCGAGCTTCCGAGTCGGCCGCGGGGCTGCGCAGGCGCGCGCGGCGCTTCCGGCGGGCGGGGCGGGGCCGGGGCGGGGCCTGCGCCGGCGGGGCGGGGCCTGCGCCGGCGGGGGCGGGGCCTGCGCCGGACCGCGCCCCCTCCCCGGGCCACGGCGCTCGGGTCTCCACGGGGGCACTCGGGCTGCGGGCGCTGCGTGGCCACGCGCCGCCCCCGGGGGGCCGGGAGAGGCCGGGGCGGCCCGCCCGGCGGGGCTCGGGGGGCACCGGGCGGGTCCGGGGCGCCCTCCGCGCGTGTGCGTGCGTGTGGACGGGCCTTCGTCCCCGCCCGCAGAGCCCCGGCTGAGGGTCTCCGCGGCGTCGCCGGCTCACGCGGGACGGTCCCCGAGGCCGGCCCTGGGCGACCCTCGCTGGCCCCGGTCGGCCCTGGGCCCTGCACCGCCCCGCCCCGGGCCCGCTCGTTCCCGAGCGCGCGGGCACAGCCACGGCGCGCGCCCCCGCGGCGCGTCCCCGCCGCCCCGGCACCCGGGACGCGCGCACGCGCACGCGCACGCGCAGGGTCCGGCCCCAGCCCCAGCCCCAGCCCCGAGCAGCCGCGGCCCGAGCCGGCCGGACGTGACGCAGGGGCCGCGCCAGGCCGGGCGGCCGAGCCCCGAGCGCGGGGCGGGCGGGCGGGCGGGCGGGCGGCGCGCCCCCTGCAGGCGCGGCGCCGCACTGCGCCCTCCGGGTCCGCCCCCCGCCGGGCAGGGTCCCGCTCGGGCGCCCCTCCCCCACCCCCCGCGCATCCTCCCGCGCCCACCACGCCCCGCTCCCCCCTCCGCCCCGTCCTCCTTCGGGCTCTTCCGCTCCAGGGTCCCGCAGAGTCCGGGGCTTTCGCAAGGGGCTTCACGTGACTCGGGCCGGCTCGGGCCCCCCCCGGCGGATCGCACCCTGCGCCCCGAAGCGGCTCGTTGGATCCCGCTCCCGGCCTGTCCGGGGGCTCGACGGACCGACCCTCAGATGATCGCGAGACGCACGGGCGGCGGTCCCCACCTCTGCCCCTCCCGTCCCGCCCCCCAAAAAGCCGAATAATGAAGCTTGCTGAGAAAGAAAGAGGAAGGGCAGACGGGAGGGTGGCCCAGCAGGCGGGAAGGCGTCTCCGAGCTGCTTTCCAATGCGGGGTCAGCAAGGGAGCGAGCAAGGTGGTCTGTGACCCCACACGCGGCGGACGCGGGCGCAGGTGTGGACAGACAAGATCCGGGCGGTGACACGCAGAGCGAGCAAGCACAGACCCAAGCTCACACTTAGCAAAACAACCCTGTGAATTAAGGGTCTCGAATGCAAGCACCGAGTGATCAAAGAGAGGGGGAAATTGGTATCTATGTGGGTGCGAGACAGCAAAGGATTCTTTCCTCTTCGGTTTTGGGGTCCGCCCTGCAGAGCTCAGGGGTTCCTTCTGGCTCTGCACTCAGGAGTTACTCCTGGTGGTGCTCGGGGGTCATACAGGGCACTGGGGATCAAATCCAGGTCCCCTGCCTGCAAGGCAAACTCCCTACCCCCTATACCATCGCTCCAGCCCCAAGGACTTTTATATCTTACTATTTCCTACCCCCGGCCCTTGAATGGCTATTTTTATAAAGGGTGAGATTTTAAAAGATCAGCTGAAAGCCAGAGAGATATATCGCACAGTGGACAGGGCTCTTGCCTTGGACATCACTGACCCGTTCGGTCCCCAGCACCATATATTGCCCCCTGTGCCCCTCCAGGTATGAACACAACCAGGTATGAACACCTCACCCACCCCCAAAAAAAAATCCCACAATGTTGGGATGAGAGATAATACAGGGATTAGGGCATTTGCCACGTAGGCAGCTGACCCAGGTTTGATCGCCAGAATTCTACAAGGTCCCATGAGCACAGTTGGGTGTGGCCACACACACACACACAGCCACAGAGAGAGTACAATATGTTCACAGGTAGCATGAAACTGACCGTCTAACTTCTCCCTGGGGCGGCAGGTACGGGTGTGCTTGGGCTCCCTTGGGCAGTTCCAGGCGCCCCGCCGTGCAGGAGCCCCGCACCTTCTGCCAAGCTGCTACTGGGCATCTGCAGCAACCCGCAGGCTCCCTTCCATCTGGCCTCCTGTCCTTCCCACCTGCCATCCTGACCTTCCACATCCCCCCCCCAGAGCCCAAGGCAGAACTGCATCCACCTGTCCCTCTGCACTGTCCAGTGGAATGGACGTTGTGGCTGGCTCCCCCACTCCTGGCCATTGTCAGGAGCACTGCTGTCACCCGGGCAGCGTATCTCTTCGACACTCTCCTTTTAGGGTTTTTTTTTTTTTTCAGCTTTTTTGAGCCAACACATGCCATAACCATGCCGCCGGACCCCGTGCCAGGCTGTTTCATCTGGGGTGCCCCGGAGGGGGGCAGGTGAGACCCCTCCCCAGCCCAAGGGACCCAGCCCTGGCAGCCGAAAACCTCCAGAACTCAACCACCGCCAGGTTCACGGCCGCTCTCCACACACTCGGGCCAAGCCTCACCCATGAGTCAACCTATTCCTGGACCGCACGGCCACATCTCATACCTCACACCACCCGTACTCCAAGAGCACCACACCACATCTGATGGGGTTTAAAATAGGAGACAAACACCCAGGAAGAGAGAACAAAAGGGAATGCCCTGCCACAGAGGCAGGGTGGGATGGGGGGCATGGGGGTTGGGAGGGATACTGGGACCCGTGGTGGTGGGAAATGGGCGCTGGTGGAGGGATGAGTATTGGATCATTGTGTAATTGAAACCCAAGCACAAAAATTTGTAAGTCTACAACTGTACCTCATGGTGTCTCACTAATAAAAATTTTAAGAAATAAAGCAAAAACACTGAAACATAAGGTCCATCTGCAGGAAAAAGTACAACTGGGAGTGACCTTATGAGTGGTCTCAGGATTCACCCCAAGAAAATGTTTACAAAAATTACCTATACAGTTATGTGCTCTTGGACTTTGCTTAAGAGACTTTTACAGATGTTTCCATTGCATTAATCATTACTTGTCTATTAAGGTTTTCTGTTTCTTCTTAATTCAGCTCAACCTTTGTCACATAATTGTTCATAGACTCAGATAACTTCCCTAGAATTTGTTGAACTCTTATTCCATCTTTTTCAGTTTCTAGTTTGTCTGTTGTCTCTCATCTATGTGGGTTTAAATAAAGCTGGTTTTAGTTTTATTTATTTTTTGGTTTTTGGGTCACACCCAGCAATGCTCAGGGGTTACTCCTGGCTCTGCACTCAGGAATTACTCCTGACGGTGCTCAGGGGACCCTATGGGATGCTGGAATTCAAACCCAGGTCAGCCGCATGCAAGGCAAACGCCCTCCCCGCTATGCTATCGCTCCGGTCCCTGGTTTTAGTTTTAAAACAAAAACTAATAAAAAAAAATAAAGTGGGAGGCAACCAGTCTAGAGGAAAATATTTTTTACAGATATACATATTTGTACGTATATATGTACGTATATATATCATCACTGTCCTTCATCGATTTTGCTCGAGCGGGCCCAGTAACATTGTGAGACTTGTTACTGTGTTTGGCATATCGAACACGTCACGGGGAACTTGCCAGGCTTTGAAATTGAAATACAACGATCTTCACACTCTTTCCTCTAAGGAAACTTTTTGGGAGCATTTTCAGCGTTTTTTTTTTATAACAAAACAAATTATTTTGATTCTGCTTCGGGGCAGGGATTGGGGTTCAGGATGGAAACACCCGAAACAAGGAGAGGCGGGACAGCGGGTAAGACACGTCCCTTGCACAAAGCTGACCTGGGCTTGCTCCCCTGAGCACAGACCCAGGAGCTATCCCTGAGCACTGCCAGATGTGGCCCGAAATGAGAAGGAAAAGGCTGCTGACTTGATCCGTTTTTCAGTCTGAAGCAGCCAATACACATGACCCGTTCCATGATTCCTATGATGTTCTGTGTGACTCTCTGGGGCCATGTAGGCGGCACCTCCGGTGGGACAGGGGCTGGCACGCAGGTCGCCGAGGAGCAAGCCGGCTCCATGGCCTGAGCGCTGCCGCGGTCTGCGCCTTGCCCTGGAGCTGCGGGGGTCACAGACCGCCACCCCCGCTCCTGGGGCATCGCCAACAGCTGAGCAGCACGGCCAACCCTGAGACTGACCGCCAGGGCTCAGCCCCGTCCCCGCCTGGGCAGAGCCGACTCAGGACCAGGGAAGTGTGTGAGGATCGCGCTCAGGGACTCTGCTCCCAGCCACACCCCTGCCCCGGGCACCGCAGCCGAGCTGGGCTGTGCTGGGCTCTGCCCTGATGCTGACCGATAATGAGGCAAGCGCTCAAATGGAGCCACAGTCCGGGGTGATGTTACACCCAGTGGAACGCTCAGGGCAGAATCCTCTGCGCCTTGTGCTTCCAGGTTCTGTCCTGGCAGTCTCGGGAGCGACCTCTGGCTTTACGCTTGAGGGACTCCTCCAACAGTGCTCTAGGGACCACGGGGCTCTGGGGGCTAAGCCCGGCTTCTGCAGCTCGGCCCACGGGACACCCCTCCAGTCTCTCAGCCTTTTTTTGCTTTTGGTGAGGGGGGAGGTTTGGGCCAGAGCCGACAGTGCTCAGGGATCACTCCCTGTGGGATCAGGGGGCCCGGCCCCTCCCCCTGCACTGCCTCTTGGCCCAGTTGAGCTCTGGGCGGCATGCTTAAATGCTCCTGATTGAAGTGCTCCTGTGTCCCGGCAGGGGAGGGCACACACCTGCCGTGCTGGGGCTTCCTCCTGGCTGCTCAGGGAGTTGTTCCTGGTCACTCCTGGGGTGGCAGCCTGCAAGGCAGCCCCTCACTCCGGCCTCCCTCTCCGCCTCTGCTCCCA